TGACTGATAGGCATTTCAGTCCAATCATGGGAGTGTGCCACCACAGGCCAGTCAGTATTGACACTGTGTCAGGACTGAGAGGGGACGCCTTAATCAGCCAGGACACTCTCAACATTGATTTGACAAGCTGTTGTAATGACCCCCTTGTTTTGGTAAAGGATCACTGTTTATCCAAGCTGGCATTGATGCACTTGGAGTGCTGCATTGTCATGGAAACTATTATCAGGAGCCAAGCCTGTGCAGCTGGACAGCGGTTGTCGTCAGAGTGGGACCATTGATTGGTGTGTGTGTGTGTGTGTGTGGACAGTCTCAGCTCATAGAGGATAGTTACCTACAGTAGATATTTGAAATGTATCATAATAACTGTTATTCTAGCTTCTCTACCCTGTGTTGTCAAAATGCGATCTGTGAATTAGCCCCACCTGCCAAATAACAAAAATTACAATAAGTGTTTCTGAATCGTGAGTAGATATTTCCAACAATCAGCACCAGTTTGGGATTTTGTACGTTTCTAGATTAATTACTGTGGTTTTACTATTTGATGTTGATGTTTCACTGGTGCAGGACAAGGTAACTAATTTGATGTTCTGTGAAAGTCAAAGTGAAGGTAGAAGAGTTTTGTTTGATAGCTGTAAGTAACTTGTCTTTCAACTCTCCTTGAACTTAAAGATCTATGATCTCACCCTCTCCTTTTCCAAGGAGGACCACAGATCAAATCTTATCAGATTTGCTAAATAATACGAGAGGCCAGACCTGTCAGTGTTTCCCAACCTTTTTCAGTGTAATCTCACAGCCACAAGATGGGTTCAAGTGCCCCTCTGTCATAGCCCTTGACTTTCATGGAACAGTTTGGTAGTATTTCACTGAAGAGAGAACACAGAGGCTGTTTTGAATCTGTAACTGGACATGTGAATCCAGAAATTGTCTGTGCTTAGCCTTGTTCTCTCTCTCTCTTTAACTCATTTGGTTTGCATTCACACTCTTGCAGCTTGTAGTGATGGAAGCTGGTGTTTCATCCATTTAGGCATCACTTAACTTTCCACTAGCTTTCTAACTAGCTGTCGTGCACTCTTAATTGCAACACTTGGGGTTAAGCTGTTACAGCTGACTAGGCAGCGGGGGACTGGATGGTTATGTTGATGATCATAAATTCTTTTTTTGTTTTCCAGATTAGTTTAGCTTAGACATTTACACCACATTCACATCATATCCTTTCAGTTATTTTTAAAGCCCAGTGGGCAAAAAACATTCACATCAGCTCCTGATGAATTATATTTCTGCTCTTTCCACCTCTATATAGACTCTTTATTTAAAACTCATAAATGAATATGTTTCCTTATACTGGATGAATACAGTAATGTGTTTGTGTGTGCTAGCTACATGTGTTTACTAAGAAGTGATGGCAGTGCTGCTGGCAGCAGGATCAGCCTTTCTGTGAGGTGTTAGACTGTAAATATTATTGGCATGCTGACAGTCTCCCACAGCGCCATGGTGTGTAAAATTGTTAACAAGCAACATGACGGGCCCTCCCATCTCCAGGGTGAGAATATGGAGGGTGTTTTTATCGGCCATTATCCAGAGGGTGCAACAAGGTGCTCGTGTCACATGATCAGTCTGGCAGTCCCAAAGTCATCATCACAGGAGGCTTTAAATATACAGTACAACTGTCCCTGTTTGATAGACAAATGTTTTCTGTGCTGAGCCTCATAGTCAAACATCAGTTCAGCAATTGTAGCTTCATAAAAAGGACAGAGAGAATAAAAAGCATACTTTAGAAAACAAAACATCCGCTTTTAATTTGTGAAAATACAAAATGAAATCATGTACAATTTATGTACAAGCTTATTTTTTT